TATTATTTAGTATATTTATTAAATAAGTCTAATAATAATATGTCTAACAATTCTATTATTGTATAAATAAGTCTAATAATAATAAGTTTAATAGTACTTATTATCTCATAAATAAGTTTAACAAAAATATTTATATTTAACGATAGCATAAATTTCTATAAATAAATTTAACAAAAAAATGTATATTAGAAATTAGCTTTATATAATTTTACTTAATAAATAATATATTTTAAAATAAAGTCTAATGAAAAAATAAGTTTAACTATTTTAATTTCCTTCAGAATATGCTATTTTATAATATAAATCTAATAAAAAAAATAGTATATCAAAACTGTCTTTGTGCAGATTAGCTCATAAAATAACATATCAAATTATATAAATCTAACAAAATATTACCTTATAAAATTTAGAAAAATCTGTAAAATTATTCTAATTTTTTCTTAGTCAAGAATAGGTTCAACATAGGTTAGCTCATCAAATAGCATATTAATTATAAAACTTTAATAAAAATATACTCTGCACTTCTATCTAAAAAATAAATTTAAGAAAAATTTATCAAATGCTTATTAGATACCTTCTTAAATAAACTTCTAATTATCCTACTACTACTATGTGCCTTTCTGCTATTGGTATTGCCTGATGTATCCAAAATCTAGCTTAAAATCAGAAATAGAAAAAATTTAAAAATTTTGATACAATTAATAATAAATATCTATGTAATATGTATAATTATATATCGATTAAACTGTTTGTTCGCATTCTTTATAACTCTTTTATTATAAATTTTAACTCTAAATATACATCTTACATATTCTTGTTGCATTTAATAATAATAATTTGTATTCTAACCTTTCTGATTATCATACTTTTGGGATACTGCAATTCTATTCATTAGTTGTATATGGGTCTTCTCTATATAATTAATTTATGATAATACTAGAGAGAAATTAAGAATAAAACCTAATATAACAAAATCAACTATTTTATCAACTAGAGAAATTTTCCAATGTCAGGAAAGTATATGAATTCTTAGTTCATGTTATGAAGGTAAAGATGAAGGCTTTAAAATAATAGACAAACTTAGATATATAGCAAAATCAGCTGATACCAGTTTTTTTCTTTTACATAATCAATAGTAAACTATTATAATACATGAGAGATTATAAAACTGATAATAATTCAAAGGAATTTTTTTTTACCTAAATTAACCATAATATTTATCAGAGGGTTAAAAGTATCACCTTCATTAAGAATTTTAAGATAACCTTAAAGATAATTAATAACTGACGTGTACTCATATTTTTCATTTTAACCATAAATACATTTTCTCTTGAATTAATATCAAATTTATATTCATATACAGGGGGTATAAAAGTATTAGCCACTTTTGTAAAATATTTTACGAAATAACTAACTTAATAATTCTTTATTTTTTTATTTTATCAAATACAGGTTAATATTTCATTAGTTTTCTATTAGCCGCAAGAACAGCTTGAACCTGATGTGGCACTGACTTGATTAAATTACAGTAATATTCTATGAGTACTACATTCCACTCCTCTTTAACCCACTGTTCCAACTGCCTAACACTTGATGGCTAAAAATTTCGTTGACATATCTTGACCTCAATATATGACCATATATTTTCTATTGGATTGATATCAGGGTTTTGGGCCAGCCAGAAAAACACCTCAATATTTGAGAATGTGAGGAACAAACATGCAATTTTTGCAGTATGTACGAGCATGTTATCTTCTTGAAAAAAATATCTTTTTTTGATCTTTTTTTGCATGAAATTTGACTGTAGGAATGGCATAATTAGCCAAAACGTCATGATATATAATTCCAGTAACGTGATCTTCTAAGGGGATCAAAGGACCCAAGCCAACACAGGAGAAATATTCCAGAACATGCGACCAAAGCTCTTTTGGACTGTGGCTATAATGCAGTCTTTATGAAACTCTTCAGAAGATTCACGTTACACTCATCTAAAACCTGAAGTTCTAAATTGTATATAAGTACTCTCGTCTGATCAGACAACTCGTTTAAAATCTTCTACTGTCTAATTTTCGTAAGTACAGGCTCACAAATAACGTTTTTTCTTATTACTTTCAGAAATTAAAGGACTAAAACGAGGAATTCAGGAATAAAGATTTTCTTTGGCTAATTCATTTTAAATGGTTTGTATGAAAATGAATTTATTTATTTCATTTATAAAATTTAAACGTATTTGAAAAAGGGTTTGATAATAGATTTTTTTATTCTTAACCACTAAACTTTTGAGATGTTTGCGTTCAGTTTCGTTAAAAATTCGTAGTCAACCCAAACATTTCTTTAGAAGGCTTTTAGCTTATATAATTCCTAAACACGTCAAACAGAAGAATGAGAGCAATTTATGACTACGGAAATCCTAGTATTTGTATGTCCTAATTTTTTAGCTGCGATAATAGCTCTTTTTGGCCTTTACTAAGTTCCTTTCCATGACACATCCTTGCAGTAAATTTTTTTCACTAATAAAAAAGTTTTTTTTCGTATGATCATATGATCAACTTTATGTTATATAATGGCGATTTTTTTATTTTGATCATTTACATAACAATCACATATAACTTAAAATAAAAAAAAAACTGCAGCTTAATTTAGAAAGAACGTGACAACACGCATCTCACTTGTATCACGTTGGGTGGCTAATACTTTTTATATCTTCCTGTATATCTTAGCATTCAAAAAAAAAATATTGATTTTTTCTACTGACAACTTCTAGTCTATCTGTATAGGTAAACTATCATATGTGTCAATATAAGATAGAACTTAATCTATCTGTATTACATTTACTTACTTTTTCTCTTCTGAAGATTCTTTTATATTCTAAAAATTTCTTTCTAGAGGTAGAATTTGATTGATTATTTTTGAAGAAAATATATTTTTTTTGATTATATTTTTTATCATTTTAAGTTAATTAGATTATGATTATGCAAGAACAAAATTAAACAAAATAATTTTAGGTAAGGTTTCTTCACATGATCATAAAAAATACTTTTTACTATCCAAATAGATTCAAAATTAGAAAATCATAATTTAACTAAGAAAAATATATAATACCAGTTAAAAGATAAGACCCAGTTTTTTAAGTTTTCTAGGGATTACTAAATAAGAATTTTTATAATATCATACTTTGATAAGTAGTATTTGACTTTTATTACAAAGTTCTTTTTTTAGTTAATCTTATGCAAACTGCTTTTCAAAATCCTTTTAGTTTTTATGAAAGAAAATATGAAAGCATTCATGTTATATACCTTGATCTTAATAGCAAAACTATATTGTGAGTAGTATATATCAAATTCAAGTCCTAATGAATAATCAGGCATTTTTAAGAAATTTGGTTTACGAATATCAGATAGTGAATCTATTAATTTCATTACTATTTTCTTGCAGAATTCTTGTCTCTTCTATGAACAAAATAAACACTATATACCTAAATTTTTTACTTTATTCAAGGTTGCATACTATTCATGTTTTTTTTACACTATCATTTTAATTTTATATGCACACTATTATACATTTTAAAAAGAATAAATATAAAAAAAATATGTTTATAACTTGTTCAAAACTGTTTAAAATTATTTAATTTCCTAATACTAATATAGATCAAGTTGCATTATAATAATTTAATTATATTACATTATATTTAAAATTTATTTAATAGTTATACTAATAATTATTATTATATTTAATCAATTTATTATAAATATAAAATAAAAGAATTATTTATTAATTATTTATTTAATTTTTAAATTTATAATAATTTATAATAAAATAGCTATTATATTTTCTTATTTAAATTCTAAAAATTATTTTTTAAATTAATGTCTTATAATATATATATATTAAACATTTTCATCAATTTATATAAAATATTTTAAACAATTTTATTATGATTATATAATAAAATTTGCTATTTATTTAAAAAAATATTTTTTTTTTTATTTTTAGTTTATTTTTTTTTTTTTGTATTTATAATAATTTGAAATTTATTAGTTTTTAAAGTTTTATCTTTAGATAACCTATACTATAACTTATAAATTTAATTTTTTTAATACTATTAACTTATATATTATTTTTAACATTATAATGTAAATATGTTATTTAATATTTTAATTAAATAAATTATCTTTAATATTCTAAGTAGTTTTTTTTTTTTTGATTTTATTTAAATATCTAAAAAAAACTTATTTTAAATAATATTATTAAAGTAAATTTCAAAATTTTTTTATTTTTAATTATTAAAACATACAAAAAGCTGCTTTTTTAATCATTTTTTTTTATACAGTTGCTAATAAAATTTATACTATTTTAAAGTTTTATTGATATAGTTGTTAATAAAAGTCTACAAATATTATAACTCTTAATATACATAAATGAATTTTATTTCAAATCTCTATTAAGATATCCTGCAAATATACAGTATTAGTAAATCTTTAAATATAAAAAACATTATTTTTCAAAGAATAAATATGCTTTGTATTTTCTAAGATTGAGCAACATTTATTAATCTTTACGTCATAATTTTAATATATGATAATTGATTAAGGTGCCAATAAGTACCAATCTATGATATTAATTTTTTAAACGTCCGCGAGATATACGATAATGTTCCCGTTTAGACGAACCATACTAATTACCAAAAATTTTTAATTAAGTACAGTAGATATTACGGAAATTATATTCTTCTAAACAAAAAAAAAAAAGAAAGGCGAATACGGTTCTAAAATTAGAACAAAAATTTCGCCTTCCTTGCTATAAAAGAAGGTTTGAAAGTTAAAAAACTTGTCAAAAAATTTAATCTGATAAATGAAATTAAAATTTATGGGATTTACTTGACACGTGATAGGTATTTTCGGTTAGGTATTTTCGGTTACGCCAGAACATATATATAAAAGGAATTTTATAAAAAATAAATCTCCCTACTTGTGCCTTTTTGTAATTTTTTTTTTTCCGACATGGATCCAGCAACACCAAAACAAGTGGCCGAGCAAGCAGTGCCTGAACTTCCGTCTCCCTCGTCAGACGCAGAAAAGGTAAAGGCTGATCCAGATCAAAAAGTTTATATCCAATCTGTAAATTTTCAATTTATCTTTGGTTACGATTGTTAAAAAATTAGATCAGATTAAAACGTTTAGCGAAGCTTCAACAAAATAGTTCAGACAACTCTGTTGGAACTTCAAGGACTTTCGCGTCGTCTTCTAATACCGCGTCTGCTACTGCTCCGACTTCGCTCAAAAGTCAAAGTAAACAGCTACAACAACAAAAGGATAAGGGAAGGTTGGAACCTATGGTGAGAGCAATAGCTTCAGTTTTTACTATTTGTATTTCTAATGCTTTTGTTTAGTTTATAGTATACTTTGCAAGTAGGGCATTTCGTTGGCTAGCTTATTTAGATCTTATGAAAGAGTTTCACGTTGTTAAAAGTTTTAATGAATTAAATTTGTTAAGCTCAGCAATTCGAAGTTATTTCTTCTTTAACTTAGAATATGTATTCTTTGATTTTATTTACTTATTATCTCAAAGAATACTACATCGGTTTCACCAAAACCAAAACAGCCTGTTAAATCCTTTGAAGATTGGCAAAATGATGTCATCTCCAAAATCCTTCAAATTACACTTGATGTAAGTTGGTTAACATTAAGACTTGGTTGGGATGTGTCAAATTTTTTTAAACGATTTAATATTTTTGTAATAATAAAAAATATTATATAATAATTAATCCCATAATAAAATCTTGACAGAAATTAATCTATTATTCTTCATTTTGATGTGTATTTTTTTTTTTTATTTATTTATTTTATAAACTACTGTCCTTTCAAAGAAATCATCGGCCGAAAAAAGTGACTCTCAATTGATTTATCTATATTCCCAAGTTGCGGAGTTAAAGGAAGAGGATCCTGGTATGAATAAATTCATGCGGCAATTGCCTCTTCCTATATCTCGCTTATTTTGATTGGCTTTATTTTTTATAAATCTAATACCAAGATTGGATATTATGAACAGAGAATACATCATTCAAATTATCACAATCTATTCTTGAAAGTGCTCTAGTTGCTCGATTATCTATTAATCCAGATCAAATGAGTGATGATGAGGAAATTGTACAGGCGATTTCGAAATTGCCTCGTACACCCACATTTGATTATCTGCTGGACAGCTGGAAACGAGCAGTTGAGATTAAGAAAAACTTGCTAACACGCGCGTCTAAGGTATAAAAATATTTTATTTATAATTAATTATAAAGGATGTTCGTGAATTAATAATGCGTATTTATCTAGACATTAGAACCTTCAATTATTAACGAACGAGTTAATGTCTTGGATACAATAAAAGATCTATTAGTAAACTATGCCGGATTGATTATTCAATATCCTGATATGTTCCCACAAGTAAATAAGTAGGTAGCTCTTCTGGATATAAGAATATTCACTTAAAAGTTTATTTTATGTAAGTAATGGAAAATAAACTTGATGTATTTTTTTTTTTTTCTTTTTTTATCTATTGCTTAGTTCAATGAATTTAGGTCCCGAACAGCTCGTTCCAAGACTATTGGCCGATGTTAATACTACTGAAGGGTTACCTTGGGACTTTATTCAGGAATTGTCTGCAAAAATTGATGAGGAAGGATTTGAACAAGTTAAAAAATTTATATCATATCATATATTTAAGTATAACTTAATAATTATATGTGATTCTAAAAGAAATATTCAATATTTCTATAGGTTTTTGGACAAGCTTTAATTGGGTTGACGGCTCAAATGCGTTCGAAAAAAATCTTGGATGATTTTTTACGACCACTTAATGCATGTAGTTTTAAGTATTGGATTTCATTAAATTTTTTTTAATTTAATCTAATGATTACTTGTACTATTCTATAATTTTAGTGTTTATTAACTCTAACTGAGATCAAATCCCTGGCAGCGATGGTAAAGAAATCAACTAATATATGTTCATTTTTTTTTTTTTAAAAAAAAAATTTTCAATATTAACTTTTAAGTATATAAGTTACCAACGCTAAGATGCTGGAATCCTCCTAATTTGACTGCCAAAACGTTCGAGGTTATGTCTTTTTTAGGCCCATTTTGTCGGTTATCCGTTTTTCCATTGGACGAGGTTTTAAATTTATTATTATTATTATTATTATTATTATTATGAAATTATGACTGATTAAATTCTTATTTGATGATAGCCAACTATAGCGGAAAGTTATTTTAGTAACGTTCAACAAAGAAGTAAAGCTGATGTGGATTCTGCTATGATAAGTCTGAGGGGTGCTATACGAGGAGTACAGGTTAAATATAATCTGACTATTATTTTTTTTATATTTATATATATTACATTTATTAAATACGTAATTGCATTATGGGAATATAATTTCAGAAATCTCTTTTTAATATATTTAATAATATTGTACGTTCTTCACCGTCTTCAAAAGAAGCTGTACTTTCTTATTTTGCCACAGTTATTAAGTTGAACGAAAAAAGAGCACAAATGCAGGTTCGTATCCATATTATATTAATTTACACTTGTGAATAAAAATTTTCAACTCCACTTATCTACCCATAGGTTGATCCTTCGCAAGTAGGAACCGATGGGTTTCTAATGAATCTAAGTTCTGTACTATTAACTTTCGCGGATCCTTTTATGGGTTATACTAAGGTAGTAAAGATTTTTAAATTTTTTATTCAACTTAACAATTTCTAACGGGAAACTTTTTTTTAATTAAAGATCGATCGTATCGACGTTAATTATTTCAGAAAGTCGAAACGAATTGATATTAGTCAAGAAACAAAAATTAAGGCAACTCAACAAGAATCAGACGCATACTATTCTTTGGAAAATGAGAAAGGTCAGAAAGGTTTTGAATATTAGTGCTGTTTATTTAGCTTTAATAAGACTCAATATCTTAATTATTTATATCTTGTTTACATGCAGAACCCTCAAATTTCATATCGGAAATTTTTTTTATCACCTTAGCAATCCATCATTATGGACCATTGCAATGTTATGATAATTATAATAATCTGAACAGAGATCTTATGGAATTACAAAAACAGTATGATGGGATGAGAGCTGATCAACCAAACTGGGCAGGGGTAAATATTCTAAAATTTTCTGTGGTCGAGTTTTTATAACTTTCTTTTAACTGTTCATATAGACTCCAGCTGCTGCTATCAATGAAGTTCTACTAAAGCGTTGTAAGGTAAGATACTTGTATAATAAGAAATGATCCGTAAACTTTTATTAAATATTTTTTTTTTACTTACATTTTAGGATCAACTCGACAAATGGGCTTCGCATAAAATAGCGTATGATTCTCAATTGTTAGATCCGGAATCCTTATCCCATTCACTACAATTTTATAACTTAGTGATTAATTGGGTGTTAAGAATTGTTGATCCTACAGGTCAACATCCTAAAAAGCAAATTAGGTATATTCCTACAAAGTTGTTGAAGTTTATCTATAATCTAGATTTTCTTAAACTTTTTTTTTTCCTGATATATTTTTCAAGCTTACCTTTACCGCCAACCCCTCCAAAGGAATTTATTATGTTACCTGAATTTATCATTGAAGACGTTACCGAATTTTTCTTGTTCATTTCCAGGTATATATTTTTTATGTGATTATTATTACAAAAGCTTTTTTAACGCATAAGTTACCTATGACAGATATAACCCCCGAGTAATACTTTCTGGCTCGCGTGACGAGCTGATAATTTTCATTATCACTTTTCTTAAATCTTCGTCATATATTAAGAATCCATATTTGAAAGCAAAGTTTGTAGAAGTAAGGATTCGCTTTCTTCCTAATTATTATGTAATTTAACTTGAGGTGATTCGTATAAAATTCTTCTAATATTTGCCATGATCATTAGATCTTGTTCTATTACACAACACGAAATGACAATGAAGGTGGTATGGGGGCTATTTTAAATTCACATCCTATTTCTTTGGAGCATTTAATGTCATCTTTAATGTCTTTTTATGTTGGTAAGTTTATTTATTTTTCTTTCTTTCTATTTTTTCGTATGATCTTAATTTATAAATTAATTTTTTTTTGGAAAAAAAAACCACTTTTTTTCTTTTTTTTAGAGGTGGAACAGACCGGAATGCACACTCAATTTTATGATAAATTCAATATTAGATATAATATTTCGCAAATATTCAATTCAATATGGAATAATCAAGACCATAGAAATAAATTAAGAGAGGAAAGTCGGTTAGTAAACTATTCAAACAAATTTCAAATATCACATAAACACTCTTTTAATATAAACCTAAACGATATTCTTAACAGAAAAACAGAATCCTTTGTAAAATTTGCTAATTTATTAATGAACGATGCAACTTATCTCCTGGATGAAAGTCTTAAAAAATTGGTGGAAATTCGTAATTTACAAAATGAAATGAGTGACACCGCGGAATGGAATAGGCAAACTCCGGTAAGAACAAGTCATTATTTCAATTGGTAATAAATTTCTTTTAAAAATAGCTTTGTCTTATAAAATATAATTGTAAAGCAACATCGTCAAGAACGCGAAGGGTTGCTTCGCTCTCTTGAACGACAAGCTACATCTTATATGGCTCTCGGGAATGAAACAGTACACATGCTTGAATATATGACATCAGAGGTAGTCGAACCGTTTATCACACCTCAAATTGTCGATCGATTAGCAGCAATGTTAGATTATAATTTAGATTCTCTTGTTGGTCCACGGTGCACTGAACTTAAAGTTAGAAATCCAGATAAATATCGATTTCAGCCTAGAACTTTATTACAACAATTGATAACTGTATATTTGAACTTATGTAAAAGTAAAGAATTCGTACAAGCAGTTGCTAGAGATGGTAGAAGTTATAAGAAAGAATTATTTTCAAAAGCGTCAGAAATCTTGAAGAAATACAGTTTGAAATTGGAAAGAGATGTTGAAATATTGAATAAATTTGTCAATGATGTTGAGGAAGTAATTAAATTGGAAGCGGCTGACGACGAAGAGTTGGGTGATATACCTGATGAATTTTTGGGTAAGCTTAAATTAATATTATCAGTTTTTTTTTTCTGATTAATATATAACTGTTTAAATTTTAGATCCACTTATGTATGAAATAATGGAAGATCCTGTTATTTTACCTGAATCGCGAGTTTCTATTGATCGTAAATCCATCACGACTCACCTTTTGAGCGATGCTACGGATCCTTTCAACAGGAAGCCTTTGACAATAGATCAAGTTATTCCAAGTATATATTTATAAATATATATATCATTTTTTTATTGAAGTCATATATTTGAGCTAACAATGTTCATTTATATATAATCATAGACACGGAATTGAAAGAACGAATTGAAACTTTCAAAAGGGAAAAAAGAGAAAAAAGAAATATTTGAATTTAAATTACTTTTTTAAGTTGTTACACAAAATAACTATACATATAGTTTGTAAAAAAAAAATTATACGTATATTTTAATTTTTTTATTTTTTTTTTTATTGTATGAATCTGAAATATAAAAGTTTCAAAACTTTATTTAAATTATTTAATCAAAATCTATTGATGTGAGAAAAAAAATTTTTTTTTCTAATCTGCTGTAATTGGCAGTCTGAAATTTCATGACAATTTTATTAAAGTTCAATTTCATTATGAGAATAACTAATGTATTACAACATATTAATTACAACATATACAATAATCTCTTTAAATACATTAATTGTTTGGAATGTTGTGTCAAGAAAATGTTGTTATCCAAAGTAAGTTAGGTTTTAAAAGCATTATCGTTATTAATAGGAAAAAAAGATATACATAAATGGGATAAAAAAAAAAAAAAAATACAGTGTCTATTATACATATCAAAAATCGTAAAATTAACATAAAATTTAGGATAAAAAAAAAAAAAATGTCCTTTTTAATCAAACTTTTTATTATACGATAACATATGGTGACGTCTTAATGCGTAATTCGTTCCATTTCTTTAATCTTTTACTATAAAAAGGAGGTATCAAACTTAATAAAGATACTATCATCATCTTTAGAAGTAAAGCTGGCTGCCATATATCTGCAGTTGAAGTAAGCTCAGATAGAATATCTCCTGCCTGACAACAAGCAAGATTATACGGGATCGATCCAAAAAACATTGAAGCAAAGAATGGACCAATTGGAATGTATAATAGTGGCGATGCTAAATTAAGAAGCCTGATATATCAAAATAAATTAGAATAAATTTGCGTTTTTTTTTTTTTTTTTTTTTTTTTTTTTTTTTTTTTTTAAAAAAAAAATGAGGGTGACTTACCACCAAGGCGACAAAGGAAACATTCGAATAAATAACAAATAAAAGAATAATCCATCTCTATTTTCGTCGACTTGTTTTCTTAGAAAACTCAATTTATCAGATAAATATTGATCTATCATTGGCTGTCCAATAAATTTGCTTAATAGATATGCACATGAAGCTCCTATAGAGGTGAGTATAGAACTCAATAACGTAGCAGTAAACGGTCCATATAAAGCACCTGCTAAAATGTTCTAATTTAATTATTTTTTTTTTTGTTAGCTTTTAAGGTTTATTGTATATAAAATCTATTATATATATATAATTTACCAGGAAAATGGCTCCAGGTATGGAGAATGCCTGTTTCCAAACATAAATTAATGAAAAAACGGTAAATATATGTATATATCCTTCCCAAGTTCTATTGGAATAGTTTTCCAATATTATAGCTTGTTTTTTTACTGCCTCAATTGAAGTTGGAAGAGATAAATTTGGTATAGTTTTGACTAAAGAAACAATTCCCCAAAGTGATATAAACGCACAGCCAAAAAGAAAAAACATGTGCGGGAGAAAGGTAACTACTTTGCTTTGTGATTTAATGGCTTTATCATATTCAGTCTTGTATTTTTTTGTATCTTCGTTAAATCCCGAGATAACGGGCATTTTAATAATCGAATCATTATGTGATAGCATGAAAGGATTTTGAAAATGGTTTACTTGCATATTTTTGTAGACATAAATGAGATTCTTTATAAATAAAAAAATAAAAAAATAAAAATAACAAAAATAATATAATTTTTAAAGTTAAATCGAAATGCTAAAAATACTGTATATTTTTATAGAAATCACCATAAGTTTCACAAGAAATTATGCAAGCTGATCATCATCTCACATGGGTGACGAAGATATCTTTCTCCGCCACGTTAATTAAAAAAATTGCTGTAAGCAGCAAATGTGACAAGATGTGACAAGATTCAAACAGGATTCTTAGATTCTCTTAATATTTATTTAAAGTTAGAATATATTTCATCTTTAATTAATATTTATTTATATATATATTTATTAATTAAAAAAAAAAAAATGAATTTGGTTTCTAATTTGTTAAATAATTAGTTTCCTTGATGTGACTGCAACTTATATACATGTTCCTTTTTAATTGAACTCGCTAACTGTCTTATTTTCTTGACATCTCCAATAATTTAACGTTAACCCTGTTAATAACTAATTTTGTGTTTATATTATGATTTTGTTGTTAAAAACGATTTAACAATTATTCCGCTTTAAAAAAAGCGATTTTAAAACGTTAATTCAAAAAAAAAAAAAATTACATAGATAGATACAAATATTTTAAATAAGCAAGAAAATCTTTTCATAAATTATCTCGTTCCGTATAGAAATTTTTCAGGTAAGTTTCTGCCTCTCTATATTCATCTTTAACCTTTTCCAATAAGGTTGAAATTTTTGTGATTGCATCATCTTCAGAAATGGTATTCGTCCCTGTCTCGTCTCTCATATTACCAAAATGTTGCATCTTTTCACAAGATGCCTTGACTTTGGTTAACCCAATGGCAGCGGAACTACCCTTCAAGAAATGTCCTAATTTAGACAATTCATCAAGGTTTCGCTTTTCCCTAATGTTCCGAGTTGCAATTGAAAACAGTCAAGATATAGTTAGCCAATTCGTTGTTCACGATGACAATGTTAAAAAATAAATATAGTCTAATAACAACTTAATAAGAATTAGCGTTTTCAATAATCGAAGGTTAAAATACGAGAATCCAATTAATCAATATCTGGTTCATTCCTATTTTTATATTTAAATTTCAACTTGAAATTATCAATGAAATATCGATCAAATCAAACTATAGAAAGGTTTGACACGTCGCTGAAAAAGCTAGACTATTTTCTGAAATTAATAATCAACTACTTACAAAGCATTATCCATGTTATCAAAAGTCGTTTCCGCTTGTTCGAAATAATTCCAAACTATAGATTTGGAAAAGTCACGATCTTCGTCATCGTCCATCTCCAGTAGCTGGTCAAATGTTTCGTGATCAATAAGATCTGAATCTGGTGTAGAAACCTCCCTTCCATTTTCTTCCTCCTTGAGAAAAAAATAACAGCGACGTTTTATTAGGTATAGAAGTATATGGAGGGTTAATTAAAGGATTTGGAACATAAAAAATCAGAGAAAAAAAAACCGCGACAAGACTACATTAAAGGAGCGTTCAGAGCTGGAGCTTGAAGGTGAAGGCATATTTATAATTAAACTTGTGGTTGATGGTTTATTATGATAATGATGTTTATTATTAAACTGACAGAAAAAAAAAAGTTATTAACCAACCTTCTCTGATTCTCAACATTAAAGTTATGTAATTCAAAGGTACAATGACATCATGGTTCATCAATATTTATATTTTAAAACAGGTTTATTGAACTTCTCCTGAAAATTTATCATGTTAATCCGACTATAATAAACCTATAATAGATAAGTTTTTTTTTTTTTTTTTTTAATAATAATATTATGGTTAAATATGTTTATAAATAATTGATTTTATTATATAATTAAAAAATAAAAAACTACCATCTCAAAAAGTTTGTAAATATAAATTTTCTTTTGATTTGCTTTTATAAAAAAATAATAAAAATTTATTTATTAAATAATTTTACTTAAAAATTTATCTGAATAATTATAATTATTTTTATTAAAAATTAATACTTTTATAATAAATTTTATGATGTTTTTTAAGTAAATAAAAAAAAAATTAACTAATGCTTTTAAAGATAATAAATATAATAAATAGTATACTACTTAGATTAAATTATGATTATCATATTATAATCTAAATATATTATGAAATTTGCAGATTATTAAGATCAATTATAAATCTTAAACTACTATTATAATCTATTTGTAACTTCATAATCTAAATATTATGATATCATAATATAAAACACATGCAGTGTTATTATAAGATACTGATGAGACATTGATAGAATATTGATAGGATATAAATAAGACAAATAGAACATTTAAGATATAATAGAACAGGTTAAGATATATAGCTAGAATATATAGCTAAGATAGCAAATTCTTAGAATATCAAAAATATATATTATTAAACATATATATATCTTCTTATATTCTTATTATTTTATTATTAATAATCCTTTTTAAAATTTTAGCTATTTCTTTAATTCTTTTTGCTATTTATATTTATATATTTGTAATATTATTAGTATTACTTTATAATTTAATACCACAATACTTATAATATACTTGTGCTATTTTCTTTTATTTTTAATCATTTTTAGATTTATTATAATCTTTATATTATCAATTGTTTATAATCCTTATGTTATAAGTTATTTGATAATTTTTATCTGTTTTTTAATCTTTATGATATCAATTATTTTTCTTATTTAAGTTCAATTTTTTAATCTTTTGTTAACAATGCTTTACTATTTTAAATATTGTATTAATTATTAAAATAGCATGATATATTAAAAAAAAATTGTATTTCTTACCTTTTATTACCTATTTTATTTTAAATTATATAGTATCAATAATATTCTAAAGTACAATTTCCTATTTTTTTATATAATGTTACTTTAAAATATTACTAAAAGTATAATATTTTTATATTTCTAAAATTTATTAAAGATAATCTGATTTATTTGAAAAAATAAATTAATATATTTACTTTAAAAATCTTTAATTAAATTACATCTTATAATTTATTAATATTTTAAATACATATAAGAAAAAAGGTTAAATATCAGAATAGTAAGTTAATACACTTTAAAATTATATATATATATTATAAAATATACTATTTCATCTTTATTATATTTTTGCTTCACTTCAGTAGGATACCACGCTATAATATATTATATTATAGCGTGGTATCCCACTTAGACTAGGTTATAGTACCACGCTATAATCTAAATATTATGCTATAGTCTGAATATCACGTTATAATCTAGATATCACACTATAATCTAAATGTTACACTATAATCTAAATGTTACACTAAAATTTAAATATCACACTATAACCTAAATATTATGCTATAATCTAAATACTATGCTATAGTCTGAATATCACGTTATAATCTAGATATCACACTATAATCTAAATATCACACTATAATCTAAATATTATACTAAAATCTAAATATTACACTATAACCTAAATATCATGCTATAATCTAATGACTACAACTTGATCATCACGTTTTAATCTGAATACATAACCTGATTACCACTCTTTAATCTACCCTTTTATTTTGATATTACCTCTGTTCTCATTCTAGTTATATATTTATACTTTTCTTGATATTTGTATTTTTTCTCATATGTATGATTTTGTTACCACGTTATAATCTAAATACTACCCACGCTTTAATCTAACTACCTCTCTTTTCTTCCTGTTTCTACTCCACTTGTAATTTAAGTTATATATTGATGATACTGATCCTCTGCGTCTGATTGGATGTCAAATTCTATATTAAAGTACTTACCTTTTGCGTCTATTTAGTTACCTTTCTAGGTGCCAAAGTAGCGTAATAAAAAGGAAAAAAATACAGAATAGTGTCGGCCAGAATGTTGAAATATGGTAAAAAAATTCTGAATTATCACAGGATATAAAAAGCATTAACAATGTTAATGGATTTTCTCAAGAGCTTGACTCATTACCTCGATTAGGAAGATACTATATGTCATTATATGTGATAATGAATTTATAAAAAATAAATATAGCACTAGTGTCTTAAGTTAGTATTCAGAACTAGTGATAGAACTAGTGATACATTTGTTATCTTTCTTGGGATTATTAGGCTTCTGCTAATATTTTATATAATGATTACATAGAAGACTACCCTAAGTATCACCTTGAATGCCAAGTTATTGTGTTTCAATTTTAGCCGAAATTATGGAATAGTGCTAGTAAATAAATTTGGCACTCATTGGGTATCTCTTATATTTCTATATTTATTCTGATCTTTTATACTCTTTTTCGTACAGACATGATCTGTTCTAGTTGTTCTGGTTATTTTAGAAACTAGAACGGGAACTAGGACAGATTCTGATATGAAAGAAAAGCTTCTTTCTTTGTTTTAACTTGTTCTTTTTATACTTGTCCTAGTTGTCCTAGTTGTTCTAGTAAAAATAAAAATTTTAAAAATTTAAAAAAAATCGTAATCCATCTATGGTATATGTATAATATATGTATGCTATATGTATACTATATACCAGTATATCTATAGGTAAAAAAAAAGAAAAGAAATCCAAAATTTACTAGGACAACCAGAACAACTAGGACAGACTATTTCTTTCCCTTTCATTCGTCTTAAAATTACCATCTAGCTATATTTTATCCATTCTAGAAAATTCTGATAACTAGGACAGAAACTAGGACAGAATTTCTAAAACAGTTTACTGGGATATATTCTGGATTTTTACAAGTTTTTTTCAATGATAATGTTTCCTTGATCTATATTTTTTTGCATGTATATCACAATAGTCATATTTGCCTCTTGTCAGCTCACTGTATTCCTTATAAGGAACCTGCCTAGAATTCCGATGAACTTTACATCCATTTGGATCATAACATCTCTGATTACATACTTCTCCAGTCCTAAGAATATATAGACAGTAATAAA